TATTTATATAGGAAATTTGACTATAACATCTTTCTCCAAACATATCCTCTAATTTATGTTGACATAAAAGATGCATTATATCAAATTTATTATTTTTCTTTAATGATTTTAAAATTATTTAAGATACATTATCATTATGGATAATTTTTCGTTTTATTTTACATTGAAATTAGAATCTTACGATTTTTTATTCTATTCCGCAATCCGATCAACAAGTCTTCCCAACGATTCTACTTAGGATTCCAATTTTAACAACTTGATATAAAAGTATTGTTTTTATCTTTCTTCTGTGACATATTTCTAAAGGCTTACTTTTTACATTCTAAAGGCTTAAAAAACACATCAACATGCCTTTTCTATTTACATATAAAACTCTACACAAACTCAATTTCAATTATAATAAACAATTTTATATGGACTATATTTGAGAAATACTTATTTTCTACATATATAAAATTATAATTTAATTATTATGATATTTGAAAAAAAAATTATCTCGATATACAAATAAATTTATATAATAAAGTAGGATTGTTTTTGAAAAAAGTGTCAAAATGTCTAAAAGATACATTTTGTGTCAATGGCTAAGATTAATTCCCAAATTCATCTTAGGATTAAGATTTCTTTAATTCCCACCAACCCACCTTCTTTTCCTCCCTTTTTTTTCACTCATGCATTCTCTCTTCTACCCCACTCACTTACCATTTTTTCCTCTTTTTTTTGATCACTCATACATTTTCTCTCTCTTTCCTTTTTATTTATTTTTTATTTTTTCCCTTTTTTTATTTTCCTCCCTATTTTTTTCATTTTCTCATTTTTGTTCACTTATTTTATTTACACCATGCCTTTAGGCACATACATACACTAATAAATAAAAACGACAAAATGTGTTTAATTGTGTACATTTGTTAGTAAAAATTATGTTAACTCCCAATTGACAGGAATTAAACAACAATTTTGACAAAACAATCAAGCGACTGTGTTTTTTTATTCAAATGCCTTGAAAGTACAAGAACTTCTTTGGAATAAAAGTTACAATTAGCAAAATCAAACAAAGTAAACAAAGCAAACTAAAGATGATTTCAAGATGAAACCAGCAATGTTCACAAAAGTTTATAAGGATACGAATTATAGAAGAAACTACTCCTAAACTAAGAAAGCCACTCCTAGATTATGCTAAGTCTAAAACTAGTTCTTTGTGTTGTTTTTAATGTCCTCTCTCTGTGCAAATTTGTGGCCTTTATACTTCTTATTTCCCACACCCCCATGATCTCCTCAATCTGCAACTGCTACTGTGTAACTACTGTAACTGCTTCCTGGCTTCTAGGCCTTCTAATCACATTAGACCTTCACTTTTGTCTGTCGAAATGCCCCCTCTTTAAGTTATCACGTGCCTACAAGCCCTTCTAACCTCCCATCGATAGATAAAGACTCCCACTTTGTTCATGCTTCCTCTTGAAGGACTGTCCACTAAGTCCATGATCACTGCTAGTAACTACTCCACCATCTAATGTAACCCATGGGCAAAGCCCACTTCCAATTGACAGCCATTGTCTTTTGATGCTACGCATCCACTCTGGACTTGGTCATATGTCCTCAATTGACTGGACCACCTATCGACAGAGCTTGACAAAAATGGGTGCAAACAATGCCCCCCTTGTTTAAGTTAAACGACTAAGAATGTTTTTAACTTAAACAAACCTACTTATTTGGGCCAAACTTGGACCTGGATTGAAAACTTACCTCCTTGGGCCCAAAAAATAATAAATAAAAACTTAGATTTTTTCATTTGAGTCTTTTTAACTAGGAACACTCTTGTACAAACTTTCCTTTTAATGAATATCACTACTTTGTTTTGCATGGCTTGCTGTCCTAAGTAATTCTTGTACAAATTTTTTGTCTTGTATGAAATGTTTTGCTTTGTATGTATTTATCAACTTCCCTTGAAAGTCTCCCACATGGTTGGATAATATTTCTTTAGATATTTCCCATTTATATTCCTCTTATGTGACTGCCCCTCCAAAGACTCCAGTTGATATGCACCTCCCTTAAGGACCTTATGGATCTGTCACGCCCCAAAATTTGGACAATTAAATATTAAATTAGGACTAAACCCCAATCAATATTCCATCATCCAAATCTTAGGGGTGAAACAAAATCTAAACGTTCACATCTCCAAAGGGTTTAAGTAAATTTCCATCCTCAAAAGATTATAAGGAACAAAAAAAAACAAACAAACTAACTAACAAAACGCCAACCAAATCATCCACCATAATTTCATAACTAACCAATACCTCCAACATTAAAGTAACAATAAATAGTCAAAATAACTTAAATAATGTAAAGTTATAAACCATGCCAAATTATCAAAATACCAAAGTCAAAAAAAATAATAAATACATAAACTAATATCAACTCTAAGCTCAAGAAAACAAAAGAAGTCCAAATGACATGTCCAACAACTATAGTTATTTCTCTTCACCACCATAGTCTTAACTAATCCTACAAAGGAAGCTCAGCTGCACTCAAACAGAACGCACCCGAGATTCCAAGAGACAAAACGGCTCAGTATACAGGTATATTGGTATGAGTACGAGATTTAACACCCACGTGTCCACCAGATACAAACAAAAATACTTTTAATTCTTGTTACAGGACAAGACAAATAGTTTCATCCGCACCGAGACGAATGGGTAGTTTCCCGAGATACGGTGGCACTTAGTTTCTTCCCTGTACATAACGAGATATAAATTGAGTATAAAATAAACAAAATAAAAATAAAAATATGGTGGGTCAACCCTGCATAAAAATTTAGTCAGACCCACCATTCTGCCAAAAAAATAAAGCTAGTATAATTCAATCATAAGTAACTTGCTGAAGAAGTATAAAAATGCACCGTTTCATGTTTAAATATTTCGAATTGACCAAAACTCAAAGAACAAAAGTTGTACATAATCAAATTTTCTAAAAGGCTACACGGACGAATTTAGTAGAAACTGAATAGGTTGATAAAAAAAGTTAATAGAAAATCCTAAACGAAATTCGATCGAAAAATCTAGAACTGAAAACGAAAAGAAACTGATGTGAGATGATTTTTTCTAAAAGCTGTATTGCTAAAATGAATAAAAACCACTATAATCAAGATCATCTGATTACAAGTTCTAATCGATATTTTTAGTACAAAGTTAAATACAAAAGTTGTCTAGAATTACATATACATGCCTCTGCCCAAATTTCGTAATTTATTGAGGTTTTTTACTATTTTTCAACATGTACAAATCAATACAATTCACACTATACCAATAAACTCATAATTAAATTCTTTGTACCTTAACTCCACCAGCCTCCACTTCCGGCCTACACATATATCCCATGTGCCTCCTGTATACCTAACACCACTCCGAAGCCAAACTTGCACTGGGATATCGTCCCGAGTTAGACCCACACTCCTCGGATGGTTAGCATATACGTACGCGTGTAAATCAAAGCACTCGTCTACTCATGAGAACGAGGCAACAATATATATATACACAATCTTTCATCTACTCATGAGAACAAACATAACAATGCCAAGCCTAAGATATTTAAATAAATCTCATAATTCTCACATTTTTTTTTCTTATACACTCTTTCTCACCATCACTCAAATAAAACAACAATCCATGGAGTCATGGTGGAGTATAAGGAATTTATCTATGGGTTCCAAGTTTATTTTAATTTCATAGATTCATAAGTGTGATTACAACCATAAAATAAATACATATAAAAATCGTAAACTTGGCATACACAACTAATCAAAATAATTAAAATCAATCTATCATCTACATAAAAATACAAAATCAAACCAACATCAAACAAATAAAAATAAATAAATAAAAACAACAAATCAATCCATCATCTAATCAATATCTATGGATTCTAAGTTTATTTTAATTTCATATAACCATGAGTGTGATTACAACCATAAAATAAATACATAAAAAAAACCCCTAAACCTTGCATACACAACTAATCAAAATAATTGAAATCGATGCATCATCTTCATACAAATACAATATCAAACCAACATCAAATAAATAAAAACAACAAAATAAACATAAATCAAGGAAATTGCATTTTGCACTCACAATATTTTTTTGAAGATCAAATAATCATTTGAAAAATTAATAGAGCCACCAAAATAAAACCCTAATCTTTTTTTTTTCAACACCTCACTCGCTCTGGGTGATTACAACCATAAAATAAATACATAAAAAAAACCCCTAAACCTTGCATACACAACTAATCAAAATAATTGAAATCGATGCATCATCTTCATACAAATACAATATCAAACCAACATCAAATAAATAAAAACAACAAAATAAACATAAATCAAGGAAATTGCGTTTTGCACTCACAATATTTTTTTGAAGATCAAATAATCATTTGAAAAATTAATAGAGCCACCAAAATAAAACCCTAATCTTTTTTTTTTTCAACACCTCACTCGCTCTGGGCTTTCTTGGATGAAGCACATAGCACTCTTTAGTTTTCTTTGATGATCACAGAGTCCCTCTCTCTCTCTCTCTCTCTCTCTCTCAGCTTTCTCACACTCGGCTACTCTCTCTTTTCTTTTCTTTTTTTCTCTTTAATGCAACCTAATAGACATTTATATAATATTATATAAATACACATAAAGATAACATATATAAATTTAAATATAAGATCAATATATATATATATAACACCTTTTATATATATATATATATATAATACAAATATATATATAAATATTCAAATTAATTATATTTAATTAAATATCACATTATATTAATTAAATAACACATTAAATCAATTAAATACCACATTAAATTCTCATGTAGCCACATAATTAATGAAGCCAAAAATAAAATAAAGTAATAATAAATAATGACTTACGAAAAGTTAGGGTTGCTACAGGATCCTAAAAGGGCCTTCCAAATTTAGTGACTACTTGCCAAACTCAGAATCTTTTGTCCCTAATGGCAAGATGGTTTCCACACCAAATCACATTCCCCAAAGAGTTTCAACTTAACCTTCTTATTATAAACTTTCTCGACCTTCTTTTTCTGAGCCATCATACAATCAAAGGCATCAATCCTCATGTACTCTACATTCTGCAATTCCATAAACATGGCCTCTACATACTCATCGACAGGAATGTCATAATGTTTAGCCACCCTACTAGACTATACTGTCACTTTTAAGGGTAAAACTGCAGCATGACCGTACACTAATTCATAAGGAGATGCTTGAATGTTATCCCTCTTTGAATTCCTGTAAGCTCACAACACCTCAGATAATAACTCATGCCAATCCCTTGGGTTGTCCTCTATTACTTTACTTAGTGTCGCTTTGATTGTCTTGTTTGATGACTCTGCTTGCCCATTTGCCTGAGCATGAGTTGAGTTTATCATCTGAATGCCATACTCTTTGGCAAACTCCATTACTTCATCACCATTGAACACTGTCCCTTGATTGACAGTAATTGTTTACGGCAGGCCAAACCTATGCACTATGTGCTTCTTGATAAAACCAATCACATGAGATTGATTTACTGCCTTCAATGGGACTGCTTCTACCCACTTAGTAAAATAATCAATGGCCACTAATATGCATGCATGCTATTTTGATGATGAAGGAAATATCTAGCCAATCAAATCTATTGCCCAACCTCTAAATGGCCAATGTTTGACAATTGAGTGCAAGTCCCTAGCTGGCACTTTTTGCACACTATCATGCTTTTAGCACTGCTGGCACCCCTTTGCATAATCAATACAATCTTTCCTAATAGAGGGCCAAAAATACCCATGCCTTTTGATCAACCACCTCATCTTCTCACCTGCTTAGTGAGCATCACATATGCCCTCATGGACTTCTGCCATGACTTACATCTATTCTAACCCTCTAATACATAACAATGACAACCTATCTTGGTTTCTTCTGAACAAGTCATCTCCCATAATGACATAATTCATAGCTTGATATTTTATCCTTCTATTTACTTTTGCTTCTGGATCACTCAAATACTTGATCAAAGGTGACCTCCAATTATCCTCTAACACTTCCAAAGTCAATATTGACAAGCCTTGCAACTGTTGACACCTAACACAAGGCATTGTTCTTTTCTGAATCCTAACTATTCTTTCCTGGAAACCATTTGGAATTCTCAAACTAGAGGTTGAGTGGGCCATCTTATTGGCCTCTTTATTCTCAAGTCTAAGCATGTGTTCAAACTCTACTGTCTCAAAACCTTTGACCAGTTGCAATACTTGCTCTAAATACTCTCCTAGCACTGCACTGTTGCATCTATATTGGCCTATCACCTGCCTTATCACCAACTGTGAATCCCCAAAGACTTTCAAGTATGGAATTCTCATACTCCTTGCCAACTCCAAACCAATAATTAAGGCTTCATACTCTGCCTGATTAGCTAACAATACATGAGTCTCATCCAACTGGTAAGAGGACTGAAACATCTGTCCTTGGGGTGAAACCAACACCACTCCGGCACCAACATCCTCTTCAGTCTTTGAGCCATCAAACCTTAATCTCTATGGCTTTCTTTCAACTGAGAATACTTCGTATAAATCTGCCTCGACAGGGCTACATGGGTGCTTAGCCAAAAAATCTGCTAACGTCTTTTTGAGATATATACTTGAAGCAATATTCAATTAAGACCAATAACCATTTTCCCTGTCTTCCTCTCAAAACTAGCCTTGACAACCTATATTTTATTACATCAATCTAAGCAATCACATTAACATCTGTAGGTAGCATGTAATGCCTCAATTTGATGGTTGCAAAATACAAGGCCAAACACAACTTTTCAACAGAGATGTACCTAGTCTCTACTTTATTCAATTTCCTACTTAAGTAATACATAGCCTACTCATAACCCTCCTCATTATCCTAAGCCAATAAACAACCAATCGACTGTTCTCTTGCTGAAATATATAGCTGTAATGGTTTCCCTTTAATAGGTGGTATCAAGACTGGAGGTTTAGACAAGTAGTCTTTAATTGTATCAAATGACTTTTGATGCTCACTTCCCACCTAAAATCTTTATCAGACCTTAATTTTAACAAAGGAGAAAAAACTAAAGTTTTCCCTGCCAAATTGGCAATGAATCTCCTTAAAAAATTTATCTACCCAAGGAAACTTTACAACTCTTTCTTATTAGATGGGGGTTGGGCTGCTTTAATAGCTTTAGCCTTATTTGTGTCCACCTCTATTCCTTTCTGGTGGACCAAAAAACCTAAAAACTTATCTGCATACACCGCAAAAGCACACTTAAAGGGGTTCATCTTTAACTGGTATTTCGTCATTCTTGGAAACACTTTTTGAAGATGGTCCAAATGCTCCTCAAATTTGTCAGACTTAATTGCCACATCATCAATATACACCTCCAAAAATTTACCAATTAGATCATGAAAAATAAAATTCATAGCCCTCTAATAAGTGGCCCCTACATTCTTAAGCCCAAAAGGAATTACTACCCACTCAAAGGTTCCTAGAGCCCTCGAGCACCTAAATGCAGTCATATAAACATAATCTAGATTAAGAAAGATTTGATTATACCAAGTATGGCCATCCATAAATGACAAAATTTATGCTTTGTAGCTAAATCTACTAACAAGTCTGCAACTGGCATGTGATACTCATCTTTAGGTGTGGCCATATTCAAATTCTTGAAATCAATACATACTCTAATCTTGCCATTTTTCTTAAGAACTAGAACTATATTTGACAGCCACTCCACATACCTGGCTGTTCTAATGAAACTAGCTTTTAGAAGTCTTTTAATTTCATCTTTCACCATAAGAGTGACTTCATTTGTCATTCTCCTGGGAGGTTGTTTATGAGGCACATAGTTTGACTTTATTGGAAGATTATGTTCAACCAAGGACCTATCTAATCCTGGCATCTCATCATAAGTCCAAGCAAAACAATCAGAATAATCTAAAATCAAGCCAATTAGCTTGATTTTACGCTCATTAGATAACAAAGCATTTACATAAATAGGCCTCTTACAGGCCTCATCTCCTAGATTAAACTCCTCTAAAAGGTCCTGTACATCAGCCTTGAGATCATCAAGCTTTGCAGGAGCTGCCTTCAGATTTTCATACTACACCTTTGTATAGCCTAAAGGGCTATCATCTACCACACATTCTGTCCAAAAATAATGGGGCAACATACCACCTAACCTTCTCTCAAAAAAGAAATAAAAAGTCTAACAAAAGTACTTTTAATTACATAATAATCAAATTCACTCTCACTTTTCTTCATTTTCATTGGTAATGTCTTCAATTAGCACCTCATCTACAGGCTTGGTCTACAAGACACTTGGCTTGGCCACTTCCTGGCTCATCTGTCGAAACCCTTCCTCAACAAACTTTTGAAATTGACCATAGGTTAGTCCAATCCCCCATGATTTCAACTCTTCATTTTATAGCACAGCAGGGTCGAATTCTTTTGCATACAGCATAGCCTCCACATTGTGAATATCAACCTTAAATGGATTTGCCTCTGCCCAGAACACCTCTATGGCTTGCCCTTCTTGGCCTTCTACTATTAAGAAAATTAAAGCCTGATGAAGGGAAGAAGGCACATAACCATTGGAATGTGTCACGACCCAACCCCCAGATGCTTAGGGCTGGAATCACAACTTATTAATTCTGATTGAACAAATTAAGTGGCGCAAGCAGAAGTGAAATAAAAGTAAGGAAATAATTAAATAGATAATTAACTTCATCAATTATCCTACTATTTAAATCAAAAGAAAATTCATCCATCGGCTTTTATTATTTTATTATTCAGTAACCGACAATAAAAGGAAGAAAAAGTAAGAAAAGGAAAAATAAAAATGTAGGCAGCAAGTTCGGCGCTGGTCCACTATATAAGGTCATTATATTTCATCATCTGAAAGGGGTAACAACTATAAGCACATAGCAAAGTGAGAGATATTATACCAAGAGTGTAGGGGCACAAAATAATCATGGATAGGTGCTTAAATTAAAATATTAAATGTAACTTAATTTGAATAAACAAATTATTTAAGTGGCAAAAACTGAAATTCAGAAATTATGTAGGTAAATAACCATAACCACGATATAAAACAGAACAGAACAAAGGTCACTGGAGTGACAATCAAAATAGAAGTCAATGGATCCATGACAAACAAAAAGCAACAAAGTGGCCATTCATAGGCTAATGGTTATTTAAGTCCCCCAAAGCATGGGACTCCTGTGGTGGTACTTACCAAAAATAAATATTTATATAAAAATTGTCAAATAACTTCTAAAATTTAAACAATCATATCTATGGATTTCAATTTAAACAAATAAAGTTCAGAAAATAATTAACGTAATTGAAATATTAATCTAATGTATAAAACATAAATTGCATAAAATAAATTGTGGTAACTCAAGATATACATAAAATATTTTATGGTGACTCAAGGTATAATATAACTCACCTTAATATTAATCATTTACGTTTACTTCTCTGTTTACTGAAATTCCCCCTTTTTGCTGACGGACCACACCTCCCTTGCTCCTTTCTTCCTACTCAAAACACCTTTTTATAGGTGCTTCCTAGCCTCTAATCCATTTACCTCCCCCCCCCCCCCTTCTCAATCAATATAGTTCCAATTTTCAAGAGATTATTTTTAAAAGAAACTAAGAGGAAAATCCCCCCCCCCCCCCTCCCCTCCCCCAAAGGAACCATGTGGTATCACCATGTGGCCTTTTCTTTGCTGCATGTCTATCTATAAGGATAAGCATCTTGATCCTTCTTCTTTTTTTTTCAAGCTTATCTACAGCAATTATTGCCTTAATTCTACATTGACCCTAGTTAATAGAATAATTGCACAATAACTCCTAATTTGAAATTAAAATACATTTTATCATATACATTTATAAGTTCAAAATTTTATTTACTTTAATTCAGCATTTGGGGTGTCACATTTCTCCTCTCCTAAATAGAAGTTTGTCCCCAAACTTGATGTACCTTGGTTTTTGAAAAGATGTGGGTATTTGGCCCGCATTTGATTTTTGGCTTCCCAGGTTGCTTCTTCGACACGATGATTTCTTCAAAGACTTTCACAAGAGGTATAGTCTTGTTTCGGAGAACCTGATCATGACGATCGAGAATCTGTACTGGTTGTTCTTCATAAGAGAGATCTTCTTGAACTTCCAGGTCCTCACAATCAATAACATGTTCTGGATATTGAAGATACCATCGAAGCATTGAAACGTGAAACACATTATGGACATTGGATCGTTCATGTGCTAGTGTAAGGCGATATGCCAGAGGACCAATCCTTTCTAGTATCTTGAATGGCCCAATGTAACGTGGGTTAACTTTCCTCGCTTTCCAAATCGAGTAACCCCTCTTGTTGGTGAGATCTTTAGGAACACATGATCCCCTATTTGAAATTCTAAGTCTCGTCTCCGTGTATCTGCAAAGCTTTTCTAGCGACTCTAGGTAGTGCGAATTCGTTATTGGATGAGTTGAATTTTATCACTCGTTATTTGCATGATTTCAGGGCCTATCAACCTTCTGTCTTTGACTTCCGCCCAACACAGAGGTTTGACTTCCGCCCAACACAGAGGTGATCGACACCTCCTTCCATACAGTGCTTCATACGGTACCATTCCAATGCTTGCTTGGTAACTGTTATTATAGGCGAATTCCACTAAAGGTAGGTGCTCATCTCAGTTACCTTTAAGGTCTAGCACGCACACACATAACATGTCTTCCGAGGTTTGGATTGTTCTTTCAGATTGTCCATTAGTTTACGGGTGATAGGCAGTGCTAAACTTCATAGTTGTTCCTAAGGCTTCTTGCAATTTGTTCCAGAAGTGAGACACGAATCGTGGGTCTCAGTCAGACACGATTGAAACTGTGGTACCATGCAATCGAATGATTTTCTTGATGTATAGAGTGGCAAACTTATTAAGGAAGTACGTGATTTTGATTGGCAAAAAATGTGTCGACTTCATCAATCAGTCTACTATAACCTATATTACATCATTCTTCACAACAGACTGTGGTAGCCAAACCACAAAGTCCATAGTAATGTGTTTCTATTTCCATTCAGGAATAGGGAGTGGTTCCAGCATTCTTACAGGTCTCTGATGTTCTGCTTTAATCTGTTGACAATACAGGCATTTGGAGACGTGGCTTACTATGTCTCTTTTCATTCCTGTCCACCAATAGTGTTCCTTTAGGCCGTGGTACATCTTTGTATTACCAGGGTGGATTGCAAACCTCAAGCTATAAGCTTCCACCAAATCTTCTTCTTAAGCGCTGAAATGTCTAGTACGCAAATTCGATTTCAAAATTTTAGCATACCATTGCTTATAATGAAGTCAGGATCGGGCGTATTTCTTTGCTCCTCATATTTTTTTCTTTAAAAGGTTATCTACGTATTGGCGTGCTCTAATTTCTTCAATCAATGCGGGTTCCACGATTA